GCAGTAGCAGTAGTACTAGTAGTAGCCATCAGGAATAGTTCGAATAGTAGTAGGCGTCGTCGCGGTGGTGGTAGTCGTGGTAGCAACACAGTAGCTGTTGCTTTCGTCGTTGGGAGCGGAATCGTGATACTGGTCGTGGTGATGCTGATGATGATGNNTGATGATGATGATGCTGATGACGATTGTAAGGTTAAGCCACCGAAATGCTCAGCTAGTTTTGGGAGGCCCGTAATCAAGAGTGAAGCTGGGATTTTCACGACGGTGCACCGTAGAGTAGGCTTCTTGATGATCTGAGTCCGGAAGGCTTATGGGCTTAGATGTTGCAGGCGAGCTGCATTGCACCTTGTCGGTGTTCGGCCACGACTCGAAAGACGCACAGCAGGCGGCTTCGCTGGCTGGACTCAGATGATTACGCTTAGCTGTCTTAGCCTCTCATGCTTCAGGCAAGGCTGGCTAGCTGTCCTGCTCTGTTACAACTCTTTGGCGTGACTTGTGCAATTGCCGGCTGCACCAAGCGGCCCTGTGCGTTGCAGCTGAACTCCCGGCCGCAACCAAAAGTTGAAAGGGTGGCCTGCCAGCAATCATGAGGCAGCTCGGGTGGCGCACTGCGTTCTTTGCTAGTCGTCACTTTACCCTGGCTCCAAATTACGTTCAGGGACTTTGGGGGCACTGCTGGCGTCTCTCCAACGTCGGAAGCAATGGCCAAAGCTCCGCAGACCTTGCCGGCACTTCTCCTTGTGCACGTTCCTGGTTAAGGCTTAGCGTCGAGTCATGTGCTCTTCAATATGTACCGGGACGTTCGCTAAACTCCACATAGCCAAGTCGAGATGCTTCCGCAGCCAACACGTCTTCTTGGACACGTGTTCATCGCCCTGTGGCATCACGACCCCTTGGCATTCAGGCTCCTGCAAATAGCCGAAGCAAGAAGCACTCTCTGCAAAGCAAACCTGCTTGAGTCCCCATGCTCTCTTCAGCGTCCTGGAAGCAGGCTTCCTGGCATTCTTGCAGTGTGTACTGCCCTCGGAGGGGGTCGATGTCAAACTCGTCAGCTCCATGGTGCTTCCAACCTCGCAGTCTCCGAAGGAAGGAGCAACAGCTAGCGATAGCAGGCTTGAAGTTCGGAGTCCGGTGCCAGGCTGCATATCAACATGTACATATAAGGCATCCTCCAGGCCCCAAATCCGACAAGGCTGCAGCTTGCCAGGATCAGTTGAGTGGCAGTTCATGCCCCAGAAGACCTCCCAGTCTTTCCACGTGGAGCGACTGGTGGTCGGCTCCGTGGGCGGCGCTGTGGAGGTCGTCGTCTCTGTGGGTACCTCTGGCAAATCGCGCATAGGCTAGGGGCTTGCTACCATGGGCATGAAAGACCCGGGTTCTAGACGGGTTGTCGGTATATGGACGTTAAATGGCGGATGTGACCAAACGTGTTCACGCACGAAGGTAAGACAAAGAAAGTGCTGTCGGACGAATCCGGCATCTGGTTTCGGGGTGCAGGGTAGGGACCAGGTACCGTCTACAGCCCGTACTTTCCCTATGCTACATGAGTCCTCTGCCGGAAGCCTGAGGATGCATGTGCCTATTCTGACCCTGAAGCCTTGAAGTGGTGCTTTGCGCGGAAGTATATACTGTATGGGCATGCACGTGGATAAAGACCCCGAGCCCTGAGCCCTGTTTGCCTCCTTCATGTTTTACGATGGTACCACCCCTTTTGCAGCAGACAGCCTTTTCGCAGCTTTGCTTTGTGCATAATAATCTATCAATGCTGACGATGGGGTAGCACGAGGTGCGTGTCAAAGGCACCTAGTCAAATTCTAGCTTCTTGCGTTGAAGTGCTTTGGAACATTTCGGACTATGATCACGCCTTGAGGCACACCGAGTCGTCGTCTTCGGCAGTGGCCTCGATTCCTGCGCATTGGCTTGCCATTTGGGTGCCGTTCCGACCTTCTTATGGACAGGTTTCCGGCCCAACAAGTGAGCCTTTGGTCGTAGATGATGGCGGCGCACGGGCGCTTGAATTCAAAATTATGGCCAGCTGTGCAACTAACCAGGAAATCATGTACCAGTAGGTCTGTCATGTGTAAGATTATAGACACAGAACCTCTCAATTACTCTGAGTCTGGCTTGATTTCTAGACCCTAAACCCTAAGCCCCTAACAACGGCAGCCTTGAGCCTAACACCTAAGCTTTCTAAGGCCTCCAAACCCTATACCCGTGCAGAGTGCTCTAGGAAGTCCTTCCGGTCGTGTCCAAACCTCGCAGCTGCCGGAGCTGGCGAAACTGATACCCTGCGGAGTTTCGGAGTTTCGGGCACAGCTTAAGAGATTTCGTGACTCTTCAGGGCTTGGGTCGTTGAGGGCTATGGGGCTTAGTGTTGTGTTGCAGTGTTGCTGAGCTTTTCATGGCTCAAGCGGTTTCGCGTGTAGGTGTTGAAGGTGCAAGGCTGGTCTGCTCCTTGTCTGTCAAAAATTGCAGTCCCTTTCGAGCGATAGTCTAATCCCTTTGGAGCCGTTCGCTCGTTTCTCAACTACGCTAGTCCCTTTCGAGGGTTTGCTCCCTGTTTCTTACATGCACTATAGTCCCTTTCAGGCGGCTTGCTCCATGCCTCTCAAACACTCTATGAGTCCATTTCGCACGGTTTGCTCCAAAGGCTTCTCGTGACCTCGCGCCCTCGTCGCGTCCACCTCGCCCTCCAGCCTCGCCTCGCGACCTCGCGGCCCTGCGCCCTGACTCATTGTCAGGTCTGTTCTGGAAACTGTAAACCATGTGCTACTGGCAACCCGAAATCGGAAAGTAATTAATAACCGCGAAGAGAACAGGCCAGCCCTTGTTCTCTAGGGTTCCTAGGATCTCATGATTAGACGTTCTTCGGACCTAAGGACTTGGAGTCTTTGCCTTAGACCTTGAAGACCCTAAACCCTACAACTTAACCAAGTCGCTTGGCATTCCGGATGCTGCACGCACGCAGCTTTGCATTCCTCGAGTGAGCCGGCCGCGCTGGCCGTGTAGTAAGCCGCCTGCTTAGGGCTATTGGGGACCAGGGTTTCGACTCTCGCACTCGCCCAAGGCACAAGGCAGGCGAGGTCTCAAGCCAATGTGCTATGTGGGTTTAGGGCTTAGGGCTATTAGGGTCTAGGGCTTGTGGTCAGACTGAAATACAAAGCTGTTTCAGGTGGTCACAATTACACTTTTGCTCAGTCTGCAAGATGAGCGATTGCGTTTGGGGAATGTCCGGCTGGGATGACGATGATTACTGCTATCGGGGTGGCACTGAACTTGCCACAACTACCACGGCTATACTTGCTACAAGTAGTCTTGCCCGTAGCCGTTTCCGTAATCATTGCCGAATTCGGGAATGTGCTTGGGCTCCTCCTTGTCGAAGGCATGCTTGCCCCGGCAACTTTGGCCGTGGCCGCCATTCACCGCCACAAAGTTCTGCAGGACGGACATGTCCTCAGAGATGAAGGGCAGGAAAGTCGAGGGGTTTTGAGGTCTCGCCCCTACTAACTCGACGAAAATCAACCGGAACAAAAATTCAGGAGTTTAGCTGTAGGTTCACGAAAATCAAGCTAAAGTGGGACCATGTGTCTAGATTCAGGTGTGCTTGTAAACAACAGCCAAAACCAATGACGAAATGCATCCATGAAGAAGGACTGGAATGAAATGGGATGGGATAGGATCGCGTGGGATGGAACGGATGAACGAGTGAGTGAATGAAAAGAATCAATGAACCTGCGTACATGAGTAAGCATGTAAGTAAGCAGGTAGGTAAGTACGCAAGTAAGTCTGTGAGCGGGGTGTCCATTTGCATGTCCGTGTGTATGTAATTTATTATATGTGTGTATATACATACACAGACATATATATATATATGCACATACATACCTACATACCTGCATACCTGCATACCTGCATACATACATACATACATACATACATACATACATACACACACACACTTATAAATCTCTGTGCATACATCTGGTTGTCTCTATGCCTGCCCATATGCATACAAAAGGCGATCTATCTATGTATCTTTCTGTCTATCTACCTATCTACCTATCTGCCTATCTATCCATCTACCTACCTACCTACCTACCTACCTACCTATCTGTCTATCTATCTATCTATCTACCTATATCTATGTCTATATCTATATATATATATGCATATGCATATGCATATGCATATGTATATGTGCATGCTTCAATGTCTGCACATATGCAGGCAGAAGGCTATCCCCCCATTGCATTTACCTATCTTTCAAGTGTGTAATCTTTGCACCGTCCTGCACGGCGATATATCATGATAATGAAACCATGATTTCAGATTCTACTGTACATCATCGGTGAACCGCAACTCACCCGTCAAGACCCATTAAATCCATCAAGCTTCTGGGACGAGCCGTAGGCATGTCGAACCTGGCACAGCTGGACTGGCAAAGGCACCGTCTACCGGGCTCAAAGGCCCATCGGGGCCCGGTGCGGCTCATGGTGTTTATCGAGTTCAGTTAACAGGGCTTAGGACGGGCTTCGGGCCAATGGGATTAAGCTCCCTCTTCGTAGAAGCCTGCATTTAAAAAAAAAAGCCATGTCGAATGCCCTCAAGGTGTGTTGGATACTTTTTTGAACAACAATTTCGGTGCAGGCCCACAAGCGTCCATTTCTATGTACTTCGAAGGCTGGCAATGTCGAACCTCCGGCTGATGTAGAGGCCTTTTCTGAGGAGATCAGATTCCAAAGCTCGGCTTCCCGTGGAAAATGCATGAAGAACCGTGAGCCCATGATACGGGCCCACGGATTCGACAAAGGAGACCGGCTCAGGGGTTACTGACCTGCGAGAAGCCCTCGACGTGGAGCACCTGGGTTGTGCCAGAACAACACAGCATGCTATCTGCTATAGATCCAAAGTCAGATAACTTCCAGCCAAAGTTTCAATGGACCCTAAAAGTACAAGTCTTGATTACAAATATATACAAATAGATGTAGCCTTAAGCTAACCCAGAATATGAAGCACAGACACCTCCAACGCTGGATGAGCCTCTTTATCGAAGTCTCTGAGGTCCTCGGGGGCCGGCTGTGCCGTGAACTCGGAGGCAAAGTTCGCTTTGCAGTCGGACTGTGGTTTCCTGGGTGTTATACAGACTTAATATTATGACACATATTACCAAGTCGTGTTAGCTTATACTCTTAACTGATGGGGGTTTAGGTTCTATGGCTCAAAATGGGGATCACAAGATGCGCAGCTTTTAGTAACTTCGTTTGCGATGCTGAACAAGATCCTAGCTTCACCGGCGGAAAGTTCGGAAAGCAATCCTGCGGCACTCTTCTGTAGACCTTATTCCAGTCCACCTCGCCAACCCAAGCTTGTTCTTTGACCTCCAATGCACCGAGCTTTGTGCCAATGCGATCTGCTGGATCTGGCTGCAGCAAGCCCGTAAGGAGAGTTTGCGCATCTTGGCTTACCCAAGGCGGAAACTGGACGGGCTCGCCCTTCACCCGCTTTTGGATCATGACCTTGTAGTCACCCTCGTAATGCGGCAGGGAGCCGGTCAGAAGGCAGTACAGCAAACAACCAAGGCAGTAGTAGTCTAAAGGGAGGCCATGGCCTTGCCTTGCAACCATCTCAGGGCTAAGGTAGCCGGCGGTTCCCACAAAGGATGTGAATAGTGCGGAGTTGGTCAGGTTGTCCTTAGACAATCCAAAGTCGGTGAGCCGTATGTGGCCCTCATCGTCCAGCAAGCAATTCTCTGGCTTGAGATCGCGGTATAAAATCTGCTGGGAGTGCAAGTACTCCAATCCCAGCAAGATCTCACAAAAGTAGAACTTGCCGTCGGCATCTTCGAATCGGCCCCGATGCAGCATGTGGAAAAATAGCTCTCCACCTCCGCAGAAGTCGAGAACCAGGAAGAGGTGTGTGGTAGTTTGAAACGCCCAGTGCAAAGAGACGACGAACGGATGCTGGAGTCGCGCGAGAATGCGCTTCTCTGTGATGACCCGCTGAAGCCGTTGCTCCTGCTGGAACAAGCGCTCCTTGCTCATGACCTTTACGGCTCGGAACTTCCCCGTCGGCTTGTGCCGTGCCTGCAGTACGCGCCCCGATCCACCGACTCCAACTACACGAACAATGTCGAAGTCCTGGATGGCGTTGCGCGCCCCGTCTGCAAAGCCTTTGCTGGCAGCAGCGTGCTGCGATGATCGAGATGTTATTGAGTCTCCCGGAACCTCGAACACGGCCTCGAAGCACTCACCGTCCCCCAGCGCCTCCTCGAGGGGAATGTCGTAGTCCAAAATTAGCTCATCTCCCTGCAGCAGTGCTTCCTTGCCGCACAGGGACCCGCAGGCAGCGGCAACCGCAGAGGGGTTCAGCGCCTGTGCCTCCTGCTGAGCTGTGCGCAACACCCTCAGCCCGATCACTCGCGGTGCCTCTGGGCGCTCCACCGCAAGCTTGCCTTGCAGCTCCTGAAGCAGCGAGTGAGCTGTAGCTCCTTCCGCCACATCGAAAGCCATCTCAAAGACGGAGTCGGCACCTTCGCTGCCCTCGAATCGGGTGACGATTCGCGTGTTTCTGAGTGGCTCACGCTTGCTTTTGCGTTTGTCCGGAGTGCAGCAGTCATCGTCGTCCTGCCCTCGCAGCCGGCCCAAGACAGCAGTCGCCGTGCTGCCGGAGCTCTGACCCATGGCACACAGGGTTGAGTAGCTTCGAGGGAGTTCCTTATGCCGAATACCCTGCTGCTAGTGATCTGCAGTGGTACGACTGCGACCGCTCTGCTCTAAGAAGGCACCTGTTTGTGGGATCCAAAACATTCTCCTGGAGTGCAGTATGTCATTCTCCTCTGTATCTTCGGGGCACCAGCTGCGTGAAGGTGGTGCATCTGCGGCTTGTTCGTGCAAATCTGCGAGTCAACATTCAATTTCTTGCCAGGATACAGGGTTGAAAAATTCTACAGAAACCAGAGGGCTTCTCCGATCTCGGTCAGCTACATGGCCCATGTTGGGTTGGACTGCTCAGTGACTGAGGTCGGGTGATGTCGCGATGTCGGGTGTGCGTTGATGTCGGGCTCCGAGTTCGGGGCTCGCTTCCCCTCCGCCTTGCCCCGCTTAGCCCTTTGCAGCCGCCGCCTGATTTATGAAGGCTGCCGCTGATGTGCTGCGTCCAGACGCGGCAGCCTGGGTTCGCACTCATCTTGTTCACCATGTCCCCAACGGGCATGGCACTGCAAACTGCAGGGAAGTGCTGCATCTCATCTCGAACGCTGCTAGACCCTCAGGCCTCAATTGTGCAAGTCTGCAGCCAAAGCACGGCTACCGCTCCAGTCAAGGCCCTGGCCCATCGTCTGCTACAGGTAAAATGTTGTGAACTTTGAGGGTCATGCGTGTTGAAGTGCGGCCTTCGGCAGTGACGGCACAAAACAAAAACACTAGACATGTTACGAGAGGCCGTCTCAACAGGAGCGAATCGCATGGGGACAACCGAGATTCGGGGCTGAGTGCCAGAGACGACTACGGGGAACCGCAAGAATTAGTTGTGGGGTTAGGCGTAGCTTCACTTGCTTTGGATGGGTAGAGCCGTTTCTTTCTTCAAGTGCTGCGCCAGCCCAACCGAAAGCTGGCCTTGCAGGAAGGAGTGGCCAAACAGCGATTCTTGCAATCCTCCAAGCTCCTTTCCTGAGGTTTGAAAAGCGTGTCCATCACATCTGACAGGATAGTACCGAATGGCACGTCTGCACCTACATGCGCAGTGCAGGAAAAGCGTTCTGCTGTCAACACCCCTTCCTTGTGCCAAGCAGCTACTGTCTCCTTACTCGAGTCCGTGGCAGACATAGCAGAAGGCCTTTCTTTCTCCATGCACGCCACTTGTGTTTCGGAGTCCATATCTTTGTGTTGGCATGTACGTGCACGCAAGTGGGTGCAAGCATGCATATCAATATCTGTGTATTTATTTGTTCCTTTTCTATGTGTTTACGTCTTTAAATTATCTATCTGTGTATTTATTTGTTCCTTTTCTATGTGTTTACGTCTTTAAATTATCTACATAATTTCATACTTATGCCATGTGTCTGGCGAGTGCAGCGAGCTCCCAACAGAATCGGGCAGATTGACCGACTGATCGACGAAAGCCATGAAGTGTATACGAACATGCAACTCCAACACGAGCACCATTTCAACTTTGATGAGACTACCTAGGGTACGACCCGGAGAGGCTGTAAATGGAGAGGCTGAAAGCCTTTGTGTGCCGCATCCGGAACTGAAGTGGAACTAGCCTTTGACGAGCCTGTTGATTCAGTGATTAACATGATTGCACACATACATATACAGAAGTATACACTCAGGCATGCACACAACAGAGCGTGATTTGTACTATGCCACCTTTCGACCTACTTGTCCACGCACCTACATCTGATTCATTCTGTTTCATTCGGTAGGTACACAAACAAGACCATGGATAAAAGGACGGTGATGTCTATCTGCATGCATGCGTGCTTTCTGTATGTATGGAATGCTGGAAACGGATGCATTCAGCAGCATGCCCGCCAGGTCATGTCAGAACAGCCCAAGATCATCTAAGCCTAATGTCGGCCTGTAGCACCTTGAGGTGGACAGTTGTTGAAGAGCATTTCAATCCTCCGAACTTCCCTGTCGTGAAGCGGAGACATGGTAATGTGCTACGAGTACTTCATCCTTATAAGTTAAGAAGCATTCTTGACTCCGCGATTGCAAAACATATGCCAGCCAAAAACATGATTGCGTGTCCCATCTTACCACGGGTCCCAATAATTGTGTGGATCCCTTTGCCAGAAGCTGCCCCTAATTCAAAAGCAATCCCTATACCAATGCAAAGTAGCCCGGTGCAGGACTTGTCGACCCCGCCGTGAACAGGGAAGAACTCGGGCTCTTCCTGTCCTCGGATGCAAGGTCTTAGTTTAGGGTTTAGGGTGTATTTTTTCCCTGCTACATAGCAAGGTGTATTTACGGCTTAGGGTTTCGACTCTCACTCTCACACAAGGCAGCCAAGGCTCCACGCAAGTTTGGGGTTTAGGGGTTTACGCTCTCACAACTCGGACAAGCCAGGCCTCGGGTTTAGGGTTTCGGCGCTCACACTCGGACAGCCCAGGCGAGGCATGTGGTTCGAGGTCCTAGGTTTCGGCGCTCACGCTCGGACACTCCAGGCGAGGCATATGGTTCGAGGTCTGCAACAAAGTGAAACACTCAGCGAGTTCAAGACCCTGATGACACACGGACAATAAAAAGGGTCGTCTTCTCGTTGGAATCCAGTTTGATTCATCTAGACGAGGTCTGGACTTCAACAACTACGCTTGAAGATTGCCCGAGGCACTCGGACTTGCCTAGGTGGCTCTGAGGTTTAGGATTTCGGAGATCGCACTTGTACCTCCAGGCGAGGTATGTGTCTACACGAAAGAAAGCCTGCAAGCCGAGAAGACACCAAAATACCACACACAAACAATCGTCACACCATGCCACACCCCAGGCAATACCTGTATACAGTATGCCGGTGTCTGTCTTGAAATCGCTTTTTTTGGCGTGGGACTTGCTAAGATTAGTGATATGTTGGGAACCGAAAGAAAGCCTGAGCAGGTGTTCAGAGTAGCCAGCACATAGCTAGAGAAAGCCAACAGCAGCAGCAATCATCTACTCAGAGTGGAACGCGACTAAGTGATTAATGTCATCAGGGCCACCACCACAACTAGTATCATGGCATATCATGGCTTTTTTTTGTTCGAAGATTCATCGAGTTGTTTGCCTCTTGCTGCGACCGAGACTGGAAAGGCGAGGTCTGGGCAAGCCAGGCCATTTCGCATCGCACTCCCCTTGCAGCCCAGGCCATGCCATAGCCCTGTAAAAACAAAAACACCTTAAGAATATCTAACAAGTGTGGCTGCCTCAAGCCCCAAAGCCCTCGAGCCCTGGCATCCAAGCAGCCGCCGACTTGCGATCGGCGTGCAATGCCTTTCATCTGCAACCAGGACCTCGATCGTCGGGATCTACTTGTAAGACTCCTAGGTTATTCTCTTTTCAGTTGCCCCACAGCTCACTGACCCCGGGCACAAAATTGACACCGGCCTACGAAGTTGCAGCAATAACTGGCAATAATGCATTCGGCTGAAAAACAGGTACGAATCACAAGGGACAGCAGCATGTTGATTGCCACAGCATCGTTAGTTAAGTCCCTTGTCGCCCGAAGGGGCTCGCTTTGATCTGAATGTCCGTCGAAGGCGAACCCTCGAAACCCCGAGCAAGCACCCCTTTGTTTGGCACACAGGCTTGGGAAGCTTGCCCGGGAAGACAGACGCAACAAAAACAAAAACAACACCATCGCTTCAAGCCTTAACCCCTCAGGGAGCTACAGGGATTCGCTCCAGTGTTTAGGGTTGAGAGTGTAGTAATCAAAGCCCCTTACAGCACCACAACCCACCGTCTACGCCGATCTGTTGGCCTGGCTCTACAAGATACTAGGTTTGGGGCTCCATGTTATGAATTTCGGTGGCTATTTTCAGTATGTATGGTGTCTCTAGGTTGGGATTTTAGCTGTGGACACCAGGGTATGCGTATTCATGAGTGCAGAGTCTGCAGAGAGCGACCCCTCACAAGTTTAGCTTCACAGATATGTGGCTCACAACATTGACCCAGATCTCACTGTTGACTGTGGCCTTGTGGATACGGGGTTTAGTTGGGGCTAACTTATGCTTGCAACACCCGCATGCGACAAAGTCACGTCCCGGAAGTGCTGGGACATCTGTTCGGACCCTGTGCTGTGCAGTCTCCCTGTGCCTTAGATGCAGTGAACTCGCACAAGCGCTGACGGCGAGCCACAACTTCTACGCAGCCATGCGCATGAGGCCGATTTGTTTGTATCACTAATCACTCGGCCAAACTTCACACCCCTGCCGTATTCATTCTCACGTCTCGGATCCTTCAATGTATGTCTGGATGGCATTCGCATACTCGGTCTGCCTACTGGTAGAAAGAAAGAGCAAACGTTTAAAAAACAAACCCACAGCCATAGTGTCTAGATGGCCGAATCCAACTTCTCAGGGGGACCAACATCTTGAACCTATTAGCCCCGTGTTCAAAGCCTAGTACCGGCTGAACGAAAAGCATATCTTGGTCGAAGAAGCATCCTGCCCCTGCTGAAGCACAACGGAACTTCCCAAGCAAAGCTCCCACAGCAACGAAGTGCATGCATGCTCGCACTCTCACACATTCCAAAACCTTCATGTGGCTGGGGTATGCTGGGCTCGATGTATGGCCCGAAACTACCTTGTGTGTGCGCACGCCAAGTCTGCGGTATGGAGCCGATCTTGCGTCTTAGGCTAACCCTTGACGATCTACGCGGTCTCTGGGTTGAAATTGACGGCCAAGCTTCAGCACCAGCCACTAGCGCAGCCAGTGCCGACGAAAAGCACAACCATCCAGTGACACCCATGGTCCGATCGTGTATCAACCGAAGTTGATCTGTTGAATAGTTCGGTTTTTGAACACTTTCAGCCGCAAATTCCGATTCATTCACACAGCATTGAGCAGTCACTACTGCTCTATCAAGTCACAGCTCGCAGATGGTGGATGGTGGATGTGTACCCGTGGATCTGCGGGATGTCAGCAACACTACACACTCCAAAATGCTGAACCCTGTCCCGAAAGCCTCGTCCTGCTCCATCTCC